GCTTATTATTAGAGATGAGCGAATCGAACATGACGAAGTGGAATTCGTTCCGAAGATTTGGAAAAATTCTATTCGCGACGAATCCGAAGATTAGCAAACTTCGGATGCACGAATCGAATTTTCCCAAAAATGGCGGCGACATGTGTGGCGACGGAGAAAATGGACAGAGAAGATGGGGCGGGGATCTCTGGAAAGGCGCGCAGACAAGGCGCGCTGACCCATAATGCATTCATGACATGTGATCGCATTAGCCAATCAGCAGCCAGCCAGCACTGTGTAATGGTGGAGCTATAAATTGCGGCCATCTTAGAATTCTCCATTAGCCTCCAGTCATTCAAGAGAGACAGACCTGTGTGTATTAAGGGACAGAGTTGGGGCCACAGAATTACTCAGGGACGTTACTCAGGGACACAGAATCGTTACTCAGGGACACAGAATCGTTACTCAGGGACACAGAATCGTTACTTAGGGAACAGCTATCAAAGAATCGAAAATTTAAAGTGACATACACCCTTTTTTTTTTGGTGGCTGTCGTGCACAGTTGGTGCTGCAGTTTGCCGATTGTGCTAAAATAAACTGACTTTCTGCTTCACAACCACTATTGTACGTTCAAAGAGTTAAATCCATTTACACGCCGGGTGGCGGTAATATTTTTTGGGTGATTAGTGCATTCCAGTGACATAAACGTACAGTTTCCAGCCAACGGCAAGCTGCAATTGACCGATTGTGCTAAATAAACTGACTTTCTGCTTCACAACCACTATTGTACGTTCAAAGAGTTAAATCCGGTTTTATTTTTGGGGTGCTTATTGAATTAAAGAGTATGTCAGACAACACGCAGAGGAGTGGCAGAGGAGGCAATGTTTCAGGAGCGAGCAGACGTGGCAGCAGAGGAAGGGGTCGAGGCAGCACTAGTCGCAGCCAGAGGCCAGTGCTCCCGGTGTCATCCAGCGGTCGTGTCTCCACCGACAACCCTGCCGTCATCGATTGGTTGACTCGGTCGTCTTCCTCTTCCCAGGTCACCTCTGACACCTACAGCCAACGGTCGGTGGGTACGTCAGACACAACCGTTAGTTGGCATGGCCCGGGAGCAAGCCCACTGAAATCACGTGTCCTCGACCTGCCCCTGTCCTTTGCTGTTCCCTCACCAAGCGAAGTATCGCATGCTGTGGGCTCAGCCCCACTGTACAGTGAGGAAGAGCTAACAGAGGGCGGTCAGGAACGGGGGGAGACATCCGCCTCTTCAGCAGCCAGGCGAAGAAGTACTGGCGAGGAGAGTGGCTCGGTAGCCGGTCTAGAGACAGGTCTGTCTCCTGACCCACACGCAGCCGAGGGGGCTAGTAGTGACGCGGAGACCCTAATTGATGATGATGATGATGAGGCTGATCGCACTTGGCAGCCTCGTCGTCATCAGGCTATTGCTTCCGCATCATCAGGAGAAGAGGGTGCCAGCTTGCCAGCGAGCAAAACAGTCGGTGGGTTGCCCAGGAGGCAGCAGGGTCGCAGCAGTGTCAGTGGAGCCAAACGGCCACGGAGTAGAGCACCAGCTCCACTGCAGCCTACCACCACGGCCAGTAGTGGTGCCGGTGTGCACGGAGGAAGTAGCAGTCAGCCAGTGAGGAGTAGCGGGGGCAAAGTTTCCTACTCGGCGGTGTGGCAATTTTTCGTCAAGCCGCCCGAGGAAGTAAACGTAGCCGTATGTCGACTATGTGGCCAGAAAGTCAAGCGTGGCCAGGGGGCCAATGTTGGGACTACAGCGTTGCGTCAGCATATGCAGCGTCGCCATTCGGTGGCCTGGGAAAACCGTGATAAAGATACGGCGGTTCTGCCTGCCCCAGCCCCCGCTCCATCACCCGCTCCGTTACTTGCTCCGTCACCCGACGTCAATCGCCCTCTATCAGCCAGTCAAGGCTCCAACACCTCTGCTGAGGGGAGTTGTCGCTCGTTGGCATCTTCCGCTCGTTCAGATGCTCCTTCTCCTGCTACTCCTCTTCACGGATTCCGTCAGCAGTCTTTCTTGGAATCCGTTTCCAAGAGACAACAGTTTGCGAGCACGCACCCGACGGTGCAGAAGCTGAACGTCCTCCTGTCCAAGTTGCTGGTGCTGCAGTCCCTCCCTCCCTTTCCAAGTGGTGGACTCAGCACCTTTCCGAGAAATGATGGCTTGTGCCGAGCCGCGGTGGAGAGTGCCAAGCCGGCATTTCTTCGCCAAAAAGGCAGTGCCAGCCCTGCATTCACATGTAGAAGAGATGGTGGGCCAGTCTTTGAGCATGTCGGTCTCTGCCAAAGTGCACGGCAGCGCCGACGTGTGGAGCTGTAACTACGGTCAGGGACAGTACATGTCATTTACGGCCCACTGGGTGAACGTGGTGCCGGCACAGCCGCACCAGCAACTTGGACAGGTCACGCCGCTTTTGCCTCCACGTTTGCACGTCCTTGGTCCAGCAAAGATGTCCGCCTCTACCACCTCTTCTTCCGCCGTGTCCTCAGCCGCCACCCCCGTGCCAAGTCCCATTACCCGACCGGCATATCACATGTGCAGGGCGCAACGGTGTCACGCTGTGCTGCACCTGGGTATGCCTTGGCGAACGTAGAACGTAGTCACACAGGGGAGGAACTTCTGAGTGTAATGAACAGAGAAATCGACAGATGGCTGTCTCCGCGCAAACTGAAAATCGCAACCATGTTGACCGACAACGGAAAGAACATGGTGTCTGCTCTGCGTCAAGGAAGGTTGTGCCATGCGCCATGCATGGCTCACGTGTTCAATCTGGTTGTCAAGCGCGGTTCCTAAAATCCACCATCCCACTGCAAGACATCCTTAAAATGTCACGTAAACTTTGCATGCATTTCAGCCATTCCTACACCGCAAAGCACACCCTCCTTGAGCTGCAGCGGCAGAACGGAATTCCACAGCATCGCCTGATCTGCGACGTTGCAACAAGGTGGAATTCAACCCTACATATGTTAGACCGCCTTTACGAACAGCGAAAGGCCATCACCGATTTCCTGATGTTACAAGCGGATAAAGGTACTCCCCTGTGTAACTTAGATGTCAGCCATTGGCAGCTCATGCGTGACACCTGCCGCTTGCTCAGGCCCTTTGAGGAGGCCACGCTATTCGTGAGTCGGCAGGACTATGGGATGAACGACGTCATTCCTCTGTTGCACGTCCTGGAACAAATGCTGTTAACAATGGCTGGTCAGGGTGCGGTAGACGTGGCGCACAGATCTCAACGCCACATGACCCCTGTGGGGGCAGGACAGGAAGAAGAGGAGGAGGTAGAGGAGGACATTGGTGCTCAGGAATTATTGAGTGAAATGGGTGGTTTTTCCACTCAGCGGACAGGAGTGGAGGAGCAGGAGCATCTGGTAGAGGAGGAGGAGGAGACAGAGGACCCAGACGCACCGTGGCAGTATGCTGTGGAGATGGAGGCAGGGAGTCCCTCGCATTCCTTGGCACAAATGGCCCATAGCATGCTCGGTTGCTTGCGTAGCGACAGCCGAATAATAACCATCAGACAGAGGGATGACTTTTGGCTGTCCACCTTGTTGGACCCTCGCTACCGTTCAAAAATGGTGGCCTTTTTCACACCTGCTGAGAGGGAGGCCAAAATAAAGTACTATAAAAACCACCTATGTAGTCAGTTGGTCTCTGCCTTTCTGCGCCAACGTCCATCCTCAGACACTGTGGGCCCTGTGCGCTCGCGTTCCGCTGCCATGGCAGCAGGGGAGGGGTGGGGTGGTAGGAGCAGTGGCAGCTCCACCAGCAGCGGCTGCCTCAGTCTGCAGTCGATGATGAGTAGCTTTCTTCACCAGCGCAGTGAGGAAACTACTAACCAGCCGCAGCAGCAGCAGCATCATCAGGTGGACCTGGAGCAGGACCTCAAACAACAGGCTTGGGCCTACTTGGACAGCACCCTGCCAACCGAGGTAGACAATCCCCTTGACTACTGGGCAACGAAACTTGACCTTTGGCCCCAACTAGCTGAATTTGCCCTTGAAAGGCTGTCATGCCCGGCCAGTAGCGTGGCATCGGAGCGCGTGTTTAGTGCGGCAGGAGGTATTGTAACTCCGCGGAGGACACGACTGTCCACCCAAAGTGTGGAGAGAGTCACGTTTGTGAAAATGAATCAGGCGTGGATTAGTCTGGATTTCAAACCACCAGTTCCTGACACAACTGACTAAATCCGCCATGAATCATGCCCCAAACATGTTATTAGGGACAAATGGAAGACCTCCACCTGATCCGTACATTTGTATATATATTTTATTGAGAGGCTGCTGGTCGGCCGACTCATGTTTTGCACATTTTTAATGACTTATACTCTGCAGGTCGGGCCCCTCATGAATTGGGGTTTTTAAATTATTTATACTTCGCTGGACGACCGTCACATGAATTGAACCTTTTTAATGACTTATACTCTGCTGGTCGGGCCCCTCATGAATTGGTGTTTTTAAATTATTTATACGTCGCTGGACGACTGTCACATGAATTTAAACTTTTTAATTATTTATAGTCGACCAGTTCCAGACTGATGGAATAGCAATTTTTTTAAATATTTATTTGACACGTGTTGTCCATCTCATCATATGTACTTATTGTCCGCTGTCCGGACAGCTCATGAATTACTTTTTGTATATAGCCTTCCAAACCACTCTCAGAATAAGTCATGATATTCATGCTGTGTATAGCCTTATAGGCCAATGGTCAATCAAGTCATGATTGTTATAGTGTGTATAGCCTTATAGGCCGCTGTCTTTACAACTTTAGAATTCCATGCAGTATATAGCCCTATCGGCCACTTTCTGGCATCCAGTTGCTGTAGCCCCCATCACCACACTGTGCCACGGGCCCCTGTCCGCCTTCTCATACTGCTGCTAGATCCATCCTCTGCCATGTGCGTCTTTGTCGTCTGCTCACGCTGCTGGGTTCCAGTTTTAAACCTAGGCCTGTGTATGGCTTCCGAATACTGCTGCCTCCACCGCCACCCTGCGCCATGTGCCTCTGTCGTCTGCTCACGCTGCTGACGGCTTCCGCTTTTTAACCTAGGCCTGTGTATGGCTTCCGAATACTGCTGCCTCCACCGCCACCCTGCGCCATGTGCCTCTGTCCTCTGCTCACGCTGCTGACGGCTTCCGCTTTTTAAACTAGTCCTGTGTATGTCTTCCGAATACTGCTGCCTCCACCGCCACCCTGCGCCATGTGCCACTTTCGGGTCTCCTCACACTGCTGCCAGGTCCATACTGATTCATGGCCCCCTGTACCGGCTCCTCATGAACGTGGTTCAGCGGGTTTGCATCACTTAACGGCAAATCGTTGACAAACGCTGGGACGTTCAGTGTTGTGCGCATTAAGCCAGACACCAAAGGGCACCACAGACCTGTTATTACTCGCTCAAGCATGGCTGAACAAAACCAGTCTCTACCACAAATTGGACCCAGACCTGCCCAGGGTCTCGTAAGTAGATTGCACGGAGGAGTAGAGTTCGTTATTGGAATTAACTGTGAGGGACGTTTTAAACCTAGGCCTGTGTATGGCCTTCAATTGAAGCTGCTTCTGCTCCGCCACTCTGCCATTGGACTCTTGATAGTCGTCTCCCCACGCTGCTGCTGGGGGGACTTTTTAACATAGGCCTCTGTATGGCCTTCAATTTTAGCTGCTTACGCTCCGCCACTCTGCCATGGGCCCTGCTGCCAGGCCCGTACCTGCCTCCCCATGCTCATGCTGCTGCAGGCCCGTAATCTGTCATGGGCCCCTGTACCGCCTCCTCATGCTGCTGCCAGGTCCAGAGTCTCTCATGGGTCCCTGTACGGCCTCCCATTGCTGCTGTCTCCATCGCCACTCTGCCATGTGCCACTTTCAGGTCTCCTCACACTGCTGGTGGGTTCCATTTTGTCATAGGGTGCTGTATGGCCTCCCATTGCTGCTGCCTCCACCGCCACACTGTGGCTCCACACTCTGGTTTTGGCCCCGTGACTGCCCAAATGAGTGAAGCGTGCGGTGATTCTAAGATCGACGGCACTCATCTGCATGTCATACTGACTGATAGTATTATTTCTCTTCCCCAGCAGACTCCAAGGGCATTTAAATTAAAGGTACAGTGTTCTGCACTAATATAAAGGCTCTCTGAAGCCTAGAAACACCCTTTTTATAAGTTAAATTCGCAGCGAAAATATTCGGGTCGAAGCGAATTTATTCGGCGAATTCGGCGAATCAGCCGAACCGAATTTTTGAATAATTCGCTCATCTCTACTTATTATTACCAGAACTCTCAGATTCTTCTCCACCATTGATTCCTCCAGTATGTATGATACATGCATATTCTTAGTCCCCAAGTGCATAACCTTCCATTTATCAACATTAAACCTCATTTGCCACATAGTTGCCCAATTACACAGTGCATTGAGGTTGGCTTGTATGTTGAAGACATCCTATAAAAGGATGTTATTCCACTGCACAGCTTGGTGTCATCTACAAAGACTGAAATGGTATTTATAATCCCAGACCCTATATCGTTTATAAACGTATTAAAAAGTAAGGATCCCAACACTGAACCTTGTGGTACACAACTGACAGCCTTAGACCATTCAGAGTATGAATCATTAACCACTACTCTTTGAATACGATCTTTTAGCCAGTTTTTGATCCATTTACATATGGATTTTTCCAAGCCCGTAGACTTTACCTAACACATTAGCTGTGTGTGGGGAACTATGTCAAATGCTTTTGCAAAATCCAAGTATACCACGTCCACTGCCATCCCTCTGTCCAAGGTTTTGCTCACCCCCTCATAAAAAGAAAGATTTGTTTGACAACTTTTGTCTTTTATGAATCCATGCTGTCTGTTGCTTAAAATATTTTTTTTTTTTTTTAGCAAGAACATCATCTATGTGGTCTTTTATTAAACTCTAGTATCTTCCCAACTATAGAAGTTAAACTAACAGGTCTATAATTGCTTGGTAAAGATTTTGACCCCTTTTTAAATATCGGCACCACATTGGCCTTACGCCAATCCAGTGGTACTATGCCAGTCATTAAAGAGTCCCTAAAAATGAGAAATAATGGCTTTGAAATGACAGAGCTCAATTCTTTATGTACCCATGGGTGTATGGCATCCGGTCCAAGTGCTTTATTCACCTTATACTTTCTAAATATTGTTGGATCAGACCTTTTACCTGCTTAAATGATGAAGAAATAAATAAGAAGTAGCCCACACCTGGCCATGAAACAGCTTTTGGTCCCTTAAAAAAGGGGGGATGGCTACTCTTAAGAGCTGTAATTCCTAAACTCTTCCTCCAACTTAGATGTACATACCCTCAAATTAAACCTTAGAGTGTGCACTTTCATCCCATATCCGTTATAGAACTATAGCTTGAATATGTTTTGGTCAGTAGCTGAAAAAACCTGAAATTGTACCCGTGTCCAAATATATATGGACCTAACTGTTTATACACATACATACACACGTGACACGCGCTCCCACCTGTTCATGGGCAGGGGGCACGTGCGTGCATGCCTGCTGACCCCGGGATGCTGTCATTCAGTACAGCACTGATCACTCACCAGGATCAGCCCAATGAGGTTTAGCCTGGACCTGCTGTACTGAATAAGAGGTATTCCTGTCCCTGTGTTTACATTACACAGACACAGGAAATGATGCAATCTTCTCTCCCAGGAGAACATGCTGTTCCAGAGAGAAGAAAGCAGATCCACGTGAGTAAAAGCACTGATAGGTCACATTTAACCCCCTGATCGCCCCCAGTTAACCCTTTCACTGCCGTTACCACAGGCGACTTTATACAGCATTAGTGTCCCTCCTAGATAGCATCAAATTGCCCGACACTACATCAGTTATCATATTTAACCCATTGATTGCCGGAAAATGCGCACACACAATAAACCTCTATTGCTAGTATAGTGTCTGAACGGATCAATATCTTTGATCGGATCAGAACTATACCAGTGTTCACAATAGTATAATATCCCCAAAAATGCAGCGTTAGCAGGATCAGCCCCAACACCGGCCAGCACCTGCATTTACCCCTATGCTTAACCCCCCTCCTTCTCCCCCAGCAACTGCAGTGTCAGTACATCACTGTCACTGGATACACTGCACATGAAACTGCAGGGTTAGCAAGATGAGGCCTGATCCCTGTTAGCACTAGCAGGTAATGTTTTTTTTCAAGTGACAGTCAGATGCTCTTTCTCCCATGAGTTGCACTAGGTACCTATAAATTTAGTAGCCAAAATGTCCAACAAATAGGTACTCTAGTGAAGAGGCCTCAGGATTATGACTATGTCAGATAAGAGAATAGGGAAAGCCTCACTGACAGAATCAGGCTCAGAATATGAACCTGTAGAGAACAGCGTCAACCTGACAGATAGCTCAGACAATGGTGTAGAGGTCCCAGCTAAGGTCAGGCGAATCTGAACCCGTTCCCAGGTTGCTGAGGTATTACAATTGCATGATGATTCTCATATGCAGCAGAGTGACAGTATTCATGCCGGATCTACCTTTTTGGTGAACCGGCAAGCACCAGCAGCCTAGTACATCCTGGTCTTTTACATACCAGCACTGCAGTATTACTTAGTGACGTGGCAAGTCCCGTAAGTGCAGTACAAGGTGAAGCGGTGGCTAACACAAGTAGTGTCCCGTAGCCACCAAGAATTCCATCTCAAGGCCTGCAGAGCCCATAATGTCCTTCCTGATGTGCTTGCAAATCCTGATTGGCAGCCCACAAATTCTGCAGCACCCGTACTTCCCCCATTCACTACCCAACCCGGAATTCAGGTGGAAACAGCAAACTTAACTACTCCCTTTCATTTTTTGGAGCAGTTTTTCACGGAAGATCTGTATGGACTGATTGTGGATCAAAGCAATTTATACACAAAATTTATTGCCGCCAAACCAAATTCAAACCTTGCCAGACCATTTGCATGGAAACCTATTATGAATTTAAAGTTTTGTTGGGCCTAGCCCTCAACATGGACATTACTAAAAAGAATGAGTTGCGGTTGTATTGGTTCGCAGACTCGATTCATCATATGCCTGTGTTTTCTGCAGCCATGGCCAGGCAAAGATATGAGAATATAATGCAATTTATGCATTTCAGTGACATTACACTCTGTCATCCTTGGGGTGACCCTGAATATAATAGGCTCCATAAAATTCAGTCTCTTGTAAAACACCTTAACCACAAACTTGCAGATGTGTATACCCCCAGCAAAACATCTGAGTTGATAAGTCCCTCATTAGATATTCTGGCCGCCTTGCATTCAAACAATTTCTCCCCAGCAAGTGTGCCAGATATAGGGTCAAAATGTATAAGACTTGTGAGAGGGCAACAGGAAAGGCTATACATTCAATTTTTGGATTGCGAGGGAAAAGACGGGAGTGACACGTGGAGCCCCCCCACGGATGCCTAGACTACATGGGGAGCAATGGCAAGATAGTTGGGACTTGGTGCTACCCTTTTCCATATGGAGTACCACTTTTTTTTATACAAGCATGCCGCTATTAAGTCATCTGTACAATCTTGGAATTGGCGCATGCGACACTGTGCGACCTACCGGGGCTTCTCCCAAATGGCTTGTATATACCGGTCTTAAAAAGGGGTAGAAAACCTGCTTGAAAAATTATGAATTGCAGTGAATTGGAAGGACATATGGGATGTTTTTGTCCTGTCTTCGATTCATGCAGACACGACTATCCAAATTTCCACAGCAGCTGGTGTTGTGGAGAAGCCCCTTTGTGTCCACGACTATATCCTTATCATGGGAGGGGTGGATTTTAACGGCCAGATGATGAAGCCGTACTTAGTTTCCCGTAAAAGCAGACGCTGATACAAAAAAATGTTTCTGTACTTATTTTAACCACTTGCCAACCGTGCTATAGCCGAATGATGGCTACAGTGCGGTTGTCCAGGTCTGCGAGGGCGTCATATGACGTCCTCCTAGAACACGCCCTCCCGTGCTCCTGGCAATCTCCATGATAGCTGTGTCCTATGGCCGCAGCTGATCACGTGATGTAGTAAAAGACCAATCACAGCGGCCTTTTACCACGTGATCAGCTGTGACCAATGACACAGCAGATCACCGGTATACACTGTCACAGCGTGAGGAAAGTACTGCTGATAACCGGCAATTGTCAGAGGACGGATCGGCACCGATCATCAGGGCACTGATGATCAGTGCCCAGCAGTGCCACCCACCTGTGCTCAGAAGTGCCAGCCACAAGTGCCCAACTGTGCCCCCCCATCAGTGCTGCCCAGCAGTGTCACCCATCAGTGCTGCCCAGCAGTACCGCCAGTGTCCAGAAGTGCCACCAGTCAGTGCCTATCAGTTCTGCCTATCCGTGCCACCTCATCAACACGTCAGTGAAGGAAATAAATTACCTGTTTGCAAAATTTTATAATAGAAAGAAAAATTTTTTCAATTTATTTGCTCTTTTTTTGTTTATAAAACAATTTCCTATAGGTACAGTGTTGCATGATCGCACAATTGTCATTCAAAGTGCGACAGCGCTGAAAGCTGAAAATTGGCCTGGGCAGGAAGGGGGTATAAGTGCCCAATAGGCAAGTGGTTAATTGGCTCTGTACAATGCTTTTGTGCTTTACAAAGCAACTGGATGAAGTGAATCCTTCCTAAAATTCAAGAGATTGCCACAGTCTAGGGCACATAATTACACAGGGTCTCGAAAGATGTTAGGAAATCGCATTTTGAGAGACCCTAACATCAGGAATTTACAGTTTAAGTAAAAAACACCCCCCTAACCCCCCCATAAAAATAGTTGTGCTTTTATTGAGTTACTGTTTTATTGTTAACCAGTTTTTTTCTTTGCAGAAATGCCATTCAGCTGCAGCACC